CTCTTGAATGCAGGTTTCTGATAACTTTGGAGATTGTGACATCAGAATAGAGGAAAAACTTTCAGGACTCATGGAGAGCTAAAATGCTCATGAGTATTAAGCAGAACAGAAATTAACTGCATGGACTGAACCAATCTTTCTGACTTTTTGCTTAAAATGTTTGTTGATTCTGGCCAGGTGTGGTGGCTCATGTCTGTAATCTCAGCACTTTGGGAGGCTGAGGTGGATGGATCACCTGAGGTCAGGAGTTTGAGACCAGCCTGGCCAACATGGGAAAATCCCATCTGTACTAAAAATGCAAAATTTAGCGAGGTGTGGTGGTGCGCGTCTGTAATCCTAGCTATTTGGGGGGCTGAGGAAGGATAATTGCTTGAACCCAGGAGACAGAGGCTGTAGTAAGCCGAGATTGTGGCACTGCACTCCAGCCTGGGAAACAGAACAACCCTCCATCTCAAAAAAAAAAAAAAAGTTTACTGATGCTTTGTTTTGTTTTTCAGAGTCTTAAAACTTTTCTTTTGAGCTGTTGATAGCTTTTAACAATTTAGTATAGTCCTATGAACAAATTTGGAGCATATTTATGTCTCTCTACCTGATTTCTCCAGAATTTGGAAACATTTGTGAGTATTCTTAACTTACGGCAATACAGTTATTTGTGTAAATGCAATAAGAATATATTTTTCAGGGCTGGGCGTGCAACCATCTGTCTCTCATCTACATGTGACCTGGAAGTCCCCAGTGTGGGGGACCTTGTTTGAGCTGTCTCCACCTTTCTGGATGGAACTAATATACTTCTTACATATTGACTGATGTCTCGTCTCCCTAATATGTATAAAACCAAGCTGTGCCCCGGCCATCTTGGGCACATGGCATCAGGACTTCCTGAGACTGTGTCACAGGAGCATCTGTAATCTTGGCAAAATAATCTTTAAAAATTAACTGAGACCTGTCTTAAATTTTTGGGGTTCACACAGGCAAGACACAAACATGTGCTGATGGGAGAAACCCACGGGAGTGGTATAATGATCTATCTGGAAGTTTATCATTTTCTTCTGCAAGAGTGGGAAGTTTTTCCACAGGAGGTGGCTGTAGGTTGTGCTCTGAAAGAAGGGAAGGGTGGATCCTGGTTGAAGTAGTAAAAGCAGCTATTTTTGATAACAATAAGAATGATACAGGCTAGGGCTGAACAAGAAGAGGGGATAGGAACAAAAGAAACGTGGCTAGAAGCCAACAGATTGACTTAAATAAGCAAGGGAAATAAGACATACAGTATCACTGTCATCTTGCATTAATACTCTTCATTTTTACTTATCAAAACACTTCCACATAAACAATTTCCTATGATTTTCACAATAAACTTGTAAAGTAGATAGACAGTCCAGGAAGCAATCATTGTACAGATTGCTTTGTCATTTTTAGAAATCAAAAAATTGAACCAAAATGTGGCCCTGAATTTATTGTTTTACAGTTAAAGGAAGAATGAAGACTGAGTGACACTTTTCCCAAGCTTGGTTCCTTGAGCCTTTGGCTGGCCTTGAGATAGACAGGTGAGGTGTACAGCACTGGAGTCTCACAGTTTACATTTGGGGAATCAAGTAGCAGAAGCCAAAGGCTCGAAGAACTACCCAAGTGTCAACATACAGGATTGACAGAAAAGACAAGTGGCGGGGCGCAGTGGCTCACGCCTGTAATCCCAGCACTTTGGGAGGCCGAGGTGGGAGGATCAGGTCGGGAGTTTGAGACCAGCCTGGCCAACATGGAGAAACCCCATCTCTAGTAAAAAGACAAAACTAGTTGGGTGTGGTAGTGCATGCCTGTAATCCCAGCTACTCGGGAGGCTAAGGCAGGAGATTCGCTTGAACCCGGGAGGCAGAGGTTGTGGTGAGCCGAGATTGCGCCATTGCACACAAGAGTGAAACTCCATCTCTCTCTCGCACACACACACAAACAAGAAAAGATGACAAACTGGCCAGGTACTGTGGCTCATGGCCTGTAATCCCAGCACTTTGGGAGGCTGAGCCTGGAGGATCACCTGAGCCCAGGAGTTTGAGACTAACCTGGGCAACATAGTGAGACTTTACCTCTACTAAAATTTAATTTGTGTGTGTGTGTGTGTTTTGCAGGGCATAGTGGCATGCACCTGTGGTCCCAGCTACTTGAGATATTGAGGTCAGGGAGGTGAGAGGACTGCTTGAGCCCAGGAGTTCGAGGTCATCCTGGACAGTATGGTGAGACCCTGTCTCTACAAAAAATACAAAAGATTGGCTGGGCGGGGTGGCTCATGCCTGTAGTCCCAGCACTTTGGGAGGCCGAGGCAGGCGGATAACCTAGGTCAGGATTCGAGACCAGCCTGGCCAACATGGCGAAAACCTGTCTCTACTAAAAATACAAAAATTAGTTGGGTGTGGTGGCACATGCCTGTAATCCCAGCTACTTAGGAGGCTGAGGCAGGAGAATCACTTGAATGTGGGAGGCGGAAGTTGCAGTGAGCCAAGATCACGCTATTGCACTCCAGCCTGGACAACAAGAGTGAAACTCCATTTTGGAAAAACAAAAAACAAAAAGCAAAACAAAAAATTAGCCAGGTACGGTGGTGTGTGCCTATAGTCCCAGCTATGTGGGAAGCTGAGGTGGGAGGATCACCTGAGCTTGGGGAGGTCAAGGCTGCAGTGAGTTGTAATCACACCACTGTCCTCTAGCCTAGGTGACAGAGCAAGATACTGTCTCAAACAAACAAACAAAAAAACACCTGGGGTGGAGTGGGGCATATGCATTTAGGTGAACAAATAATGTGTATAATATGAACACAGCATGCAAAAGTAGACAAGTACAATTATTTAGCAGATGTGGGAGTCAAGGAGCCAGAGCTGGAGGACTTTGGGAGCAGGGTGGGAAGTTTCACCGGAACTAGGAAATCTGGGAAGAGAAGGGTCTTTAGAAGCGCCATGGCTCATGCTTGTAATCCCAGCACTTTTGGAGGCCGAGGAAGGCGGATCACAAGGTCAGGAGTTCGAGACCAGCCTGGCCAATATGGTGAAACCTCATCTCTACTAAAAGTACAAAAACTAGTCAGGCGTGGTGCTGGGCACCTGTAGTCCCAGCTACTCGGGAGACTGAGGCAGGAGCATCACTTGAACCCGGGATGCAGAGGTTGCAGTGAGCCAAGATTGTGCCACTGCACTCCATCCTGGGCCACAGAGTGAGACTCCGTCTCAAAAAAAAAAAAAGAAAAAAAAAAAGGAAGACAAGTTCAGCCTATATATATATATTTATTTTTTTTTTTAGAGATGGGGTCTTGCTATGTTTCCTAGGCTGGTCTTGAATTCTTAGGCTCAAGCAATCTTCCTGTCTGGGCCTCCCTAAATTTAACCTTTGATGTGGTTAGTGTGATACGGCAGGGGGACAATCTATGGGTTGTAAATACCAGAAAGGGCTCCTCACCGAAACAGCTACCTCTCATGTCAGCCTCCCTGGACACACACACACACACACACACACACACACACACACACACACAGAGAGAGAGAGAGAGAGAGAGAGAGAGAGAGAGAGAGAGAGAGAGAACCCCAGAGCGCTGACAACATCATCAGCATTCTCAGGGACCTCATGGAACTCTGTTGGAGGGAGGGGTCTGGCACCTGGACAGCACTCCTCTATGACTTCATCAGCCTCAGAAGCCACAGGAAAGCAGCTTCGTCATCCTAAACTGAATGCCTTTTAACCTCTGGACTTCAACTGGCAAAGACTGGAGTTAAGAATAATGTGAAGCATCAGGCATCTGTGCTTCATGTGTTTCCTCTCTTAAGCTGCTTTGTTTTTCAAGGGCGTCATGCCCTGTATTTGGCTTTAACATTTTGCTTTCTCAGCCTAGGCAACACAGAAAGACTTTGGCTCTCTCTCTCTCTCTCTCTCTCTGTTTTTTTTCTTTTGAGACAGTCTCGCTCGGTCACCGAGGTTAGAGTGCAGCGACTTGATGGCGGCTCACTGCAACCCCCGCTTCCTGGGTTGAAAAGATTTTCATGCCTCAGCCTCCCGAGTAACTGGATTACAGGTGCACGCCACCATGCCCAGCAAATTTTTGTAGTTTTTAGAGACAGCCAAGACTCTGTTTCTTAAAAAAAAAAAAAAAAAAAAAAAAAGTCGGGTGCAGTGGCTCACGCCTGTAATCTCCACACTTTGAGAGGCGGAGGCGGGCAGATCACGAGGTCAAGAGATTGGGAACATCCTGACCAACATGGTGAAACCGCGTCTCTACTAAAAATGCGAAAATTAGCTGACGTGGTGGTGCGTGCATGTAATCCCAGTTACTGGGGAGACTGAGGCAGGAGAATCCCTTGAACCAGGGCGTCAGAGGTTGCAGTGAGCCGAGATGGTGCCATTGCACTCCAGCCTGGCGACAGAGCGAGAATCAATTAACATAATAATAATAATAATAATAATAATAACCTGGGCACCCACCTGTAGGCACCCACCAGCAAGTCCCAGTTACTTGGGAGGCTGAGGCTGGAGGATTACTTTAGCCCAGAAGTTCAAGGGTGCAATGAGCTCATGCTTTGTCTAATATATTTATCCAAACAGCCTCTTTCTGTTCTGTACGTTTGTATTTATACGGTTACTTTTTTTTTTTTTTTTTTTTTTTGAGACGGAGTCCCGCTCTGTCACCCAGGCTGGAGTGCAGTGGCGCTATCTCGGCTCACTGCAAGCTCCGCCTCCCGGGTTCTTGCCATTCTCCTGCCTCAGCCTCCCAAGTAGCTGGGACTACAGGCGCTCGCCACTACGCCTGGCTAATTTTTTTTTTGTATTTTTAATAGAGACGGGGTTTCAACGTGTTAGCAGGATGATTTCGATCTCCTGACCTCATGATCCGCCCGCTTCGGCCTCCCAAAGTACTGGGATTACAGGCATGAGCCACCGCGCCCGGCCCCTACAGTTACTTTTGTACAAGTGCTTTGCTCTGGGAAATTAGGTGCCTTGTAATTGTTGTGATTGATAATGATGACATTGCAGAAGGAACCTAAGATGAAGGAAGCTGACTCTGGGTAGGCAATTCTACTTCATTTTGCAATCTCTTTTCCTTTTTGCTTGCCTGTAAGAATATTCTAAGATTGAAGAAGTTGTGGAGGTAAGAGTGAACTGTTTGGGAATTCTTTCATTATCTCCCTTTTTAGGACAGCACAAAGATCAAATCACTGTCACCTCATGCAAGAAATGTGAGAACTGTGGCTACAAATCACTCAATACAGTACTTTGCATATTATTTCCTTACTGCTTACATAATTTATTGCAACATATTCTGCTTCTTTTCCCAGAACTGTCAAATCTCTGCTATATCAGTACTGGCTAAATTAGGTGTTAAATGATTGAGCTTCAAGATGGGCAAATCATGACTTCGGACTACATTCCTCTTTGCCTGGGGGCTGGGAAATTCCGTAAGCTCTCTGTGTTTCTATCAGACTGGTCTTGAAGGCGGTGGCTGTTTGTGGATCTCCGCAGAGCGCCAACGTTGGCTTAAAAAAACCCCAAAGCTAGATTGTCCAAAAGGTATCCAAAAGGTAGTTGTATTATTTACCAGCCATCTTTTAGCTTTAAAACGTGATGAAGCATTTCCAGTTCCCTTTTCTTGAACTAATTCAGCAACTCCCTTTTTTGTTAGGTCCGCGCTGCTGCGAAGACTTCAGATGAAAGATGCTCCGGGCACTCCGTTATCCTGGGCCCCTCTGCCCGACATTTTTGATTAAGCGCTGCCTCCTGGCGGCGGCTCTAATGCCCGACGCCTTCCCAGCCTAGTGGAGTTCACTTTCTCTGGTTTGGAATCTGGAAGCTGATGCAACAGCTCCCCCGAGGGGGCGGGGAGTCGGGAACCCGGAGTGGAAGAGACGGCCTTCGGGAGACCCCTCCTCCGGCTCCGAGCAGGCACCTTTCCTCGCCCCGCCTCCCGCCCCCGCCCCCGCTCCCCCCAACAAGGGGCTTCCCGTCTGGGGGTCCTACCCAGATTCCGCTAAGCATCTCGGGGCAGGAGGCACTTGTGGCCAAGGGTTGGGGCTCCTGCCCCGACCCCTGTCTGGCAGCCAGATTATGCGGGGTTGAGAGGGAGGGAAGAGGAAGCTGAGCGTTCATGGGGTGGACGACCAGTCTCTAAGGGTGTCCGCGGTCATTTTCATTTCCCGGCAGCAATCCAGCTGTGCGGGAGCGAGGAGCGGACAGGGGAGCGGGTTGCGAGGCCTCAGTGCTTGGACCTTTGCGCCCTTCGCCTACACCCACGACAATCCCCTCTTCTAGCGCTTCCTAGAGTCGGTGGAAGGGCGGGGGCCGCTTGGCCAGGTGGAGGGAGCGGAAGGGACTCCTGTTGGGGTGAGGTCCTGGTCCCCCAAGGCAGAGCTCGAGTGGGCCCCCACAGCCAGACCTGGGCCTCGGGGGCGACCCTCGGGGGGTAATGAAGGCGGACGGTGGCTGGGTCCGAGCTTGGGAAGGCGTTGTCCTAGGACCGCAGACTGGGGACCCAAAAGAAGGAGGGAAATAAAAGCGAAACAAATGGCAGGGGACCGGAGAAAGCGAGGGTGGATTGCGGGGTGGGGATGGGAGAAAGGGACAAAGGTGAGTGAGGCCAGCAGGTTGGGCGGGGGCGGAGAGGGGGATGGGAACGGCCAAGGGCTAGGCCAGTGAGGATCGCGGGCTAGGGGAGAGATTTTCCGGGGAAGAGCAGCGGGCGGGGCGCATGGTGGGGAGTTGAGTGTATGCTTCGAAGTTCAGCTGTAGAACCCACTTGCATATGCATGAACCTGAGCGTTCGCCTCCCTCGGTCTTTTCCTCCTTTGCCCTTCACCCTTTCGCAGCTGTAGCACTTAGCTCTCGTCATCTCCACGCCGCACCCAGACCGGTCACCTGAGCCTGGGTGTGAGGTAGAGCAGACAAGAATTTCCTGGATCCAGGGAAAGAGTGTTAGATGATAGGCTTTTTGTTTTGCTTTGCTTTTCCCATTAATGAAACAAAAGTCCGTTTCAAATCATTCTAGGCCTCCCAGTAAAACCGTGAAAGCCATACTTTCTTCTTTGCCTTTAACACATTACTGTCAAAAAGAGTACCTCCGGGTACTCCTTGCTTAGGAGCCAGAGCGGCAGCCAAACAGGAGGGCCTGGAGAGCAAATTCAAGGACATGCCCAGGAGCCTAGCTACCTGGGAAATCAAATAAATAACATAGTTCATTCATTCATTTATTAACCCAGCAAACATTTATTAACTGTCTATGTGAGCCCAGCTCTGCGGGGATACAGTGGTGAACAAAGCTTTTGTGATGCTTACATTCTAGTGGGGGTGGTGACAGGAAACAAATGACACCGGGAATGGACAATATCACTGGGAAGCATGTTCCAGGCAGGGAGAACAGAAATTGCAAAAGCTGTGAGGCGGGAGAGGGTGCTTGCTGTGTGGCCACAGCAGGGAAGCCAGTGAAGCTGTAGTGGAATGAGGAAGACAGCAGGGGGGCCCATGCAGGCAAAGACAGCTTCCTCTTCCTAGGTCTTCCCTCACAACTTGGACCCGACCCCAGAGTGCAGGTAAGGGGCCAGCAAGTTGGGTAGTAGACTGAGAGTGTCTAAAAGACACTAAATTATCTTTGCAATAATCCAGGTATTTGGTGCCAGTGTACTATGATTTCTGTGTCTTGGTGAAATATGAGTTGGCTTTCATCCAGTGACATAGACTTATTGACAACTCCTTACCTGGACTACTTGTGTCTGGAGTAATTTTGCAAGACAGGTGCAAATTGCAGGGTGTAGCCCAGGGGCCAGCCAGCTGGCAGTTGCTTAAAGGCATTAGTCACAGTTGTAATTCCAAAAATGCATGATGCACTGTGAAGTGCTGCTCCCTGAGGGCAAGAGATTTATACTATTATCTGATTTTAAGTGGTTTACTGTGCTTACCAAGAAGCTGTTTGCTTTGGAATATTGCATGTGATGAAGATGTGTAATAATTTCTTCTTTTTTTTTTTTGACTGGAGTGCTCACTGCAACCTCTGCCTCCCGGGTTCAAGCGATTTTCCTGCCTCAGCCTCCCAAGTAGCTGGGATTACAGGTGCCCGCCACCATACCTGGCTAATTTTTGTATTTTTAGTAGAGACGGGGTTCCACTATGTTGGCCAGACTGGTCTCAAACTCCTGACCTTGTGATCTGCCCGCCTTGGCCTCCCAAAGTGCTGGGATTACAGGCGTGAGCCACCACACCCGGCTGATACGTAATAATTTCTAATTTTGAATATAAAGAGGCTTACACAATTTGTATTCCAGGAAAATTGGTATTTCCCTCACCTCTGCTAAGTAAACGTTCGACAGATGTTTAAATAAAACTGGTTTGAAGGGATGCCAACTCATTAGTCTGCCCAGGGTGCCACGGGCCAGTTGGCTCTTACCTGGTGACACACATCGGTATCACTTGAACCAATTAGAGATCTCAGCTGTGAGTGAGCTTGCTTGGTGTCTAAATGTGCTTGGCTGTCCTCCTATAAGTGGTCTTCCTTGGCCTGCATTACCTCCCTTGGCTTGCTTTAGGGGCTGAAATGGCGCTTGACACTCTTGAGATGGGACTGCAAAGTTTCCTTCTGACCATGGGATCGTATCCCCTCTGCAGGACTAAGGATAGTACATGAGTGGGAGTGAGTGGGAGATGATTAGGAAATGGAATGAGGGGAGTTGCAAGAGGCATCAGAGGTCACTATCAATGGAGGGGAAAGCTTAAATGCTCAGTAAATGTAGGGCAACAAGGAAGAGGGGGGTGGGGCTGAGGGAGGGAGAAGGAGCTGAGACTCAGGTATTTGGTGCCAGTGTAGTGGAGAAGGTGCCTGGAGGCTGGCAGGCATTGAGGTCCTCTGGGTCTGACCAGGCAGTCCCAGCTCCAGCCCGTCCCCTGGCCCCTCCCCGCTGCCGGCCAGAGTCACACATGTGTTTTCCTGTTTTCCATTTCAGTCCCCGTTACCCTCTGCTTTTTCTGCTCCTCAGAGTCAACAGCTGCTGCAGCGTGAGCCATACCCTTGGTTCTCCTAACTAGCACCTTCCCCTCTCCCTTGACTGAGCTGGTAGCCCCTCCTCCCTGCACCTGCCCAAAGGTCACTGGACAGGTAAGAGGTGGGAGAGGAGGGACAATGGGCGAGAGGGGAAGTGTAGGAGGAGGATGGAGTGAGTCCTAAAAATCGGCTGAATGGAGACCCAAGAGCCTCCTGTTTCTTGATCCCAGGAGTGTCCCTCCCTGGGCTGAAACTTCTGCCCAGAGACTTCAGCCCTTCCTTAATGGAAGCCCTGGCCACAGGAGTAAACAATTTCTTTTTTGTTTCACCTTTTTTTTTTTTTTTTTTTTTAAGAGACTGACTTAGCCACAGTAGAATATAGAAAAACAAACAGAGAACTGGGGAGGGAGGAGCTGAGCTTCTAGCTTGGAGTGATGGGGAAATCTAGTCATACCAGAGTGTATCTGTTTTCTGTTTCTGTTGTTAGGGGAGGCAGCACAGACTGGTTGGAGCCAGGAAGGCAGGACATGGGGTCTCTGGGAGAGAAAGTGTGTTCTTACAGTAGTTCCCTGAGCTCGGCTGAGAAGCCAAGACCCCGAGTTATGTGCTAGTTCCTGGAGGAAGTGTGTTTTGGTGTTGCCATTCGAGGGTGAGGTTAGGGTGAGGGGCTCCACTGACTGTTCTGCCCAGCACTGCATACTGGAGGCCCTGCTGCCAGTTTCTGAATCAAATTTCTTCCACAGGCTGTAGGATGAGTGTGTTGTCCTGTAATCTTCACTGGGTGTTCAGAGATGAATGCATCTCAGACAGGGAAAGACGACAAGGGCTGCTGTTATCTTACGGGGTTGCTCATGTAAAACCTGGGGTGGGCCAGGTGCAGTGGCTCACACCTGTAATCCCAGCACTTTGGGAGGTTGAGGTGGGAGGATCACAAGGCCAGGAGTTCGAGACCAGCCTGGTCAACATGGTGAAACCCCGTCTCTACTAAAAATAAAAAAAATAAAAATTAAAAATTAGCTGGGCATAGTGGTGGGTGCCTGTAATCCCAGCTACTAGGGAGGCTGAAGCAGGAGAACCCGGGAGGTGGAGGTTGCAGCGAGCAGAGATTGCGCCACTGCACTCCAGCCTGGGGGACAAAGCAAAACTCTGTCTCGGAGGAAAAAAAAACCCCAAAACCCAAACCCCCCCCCAAAAAAAAAGAAAAAAAAAGAAAACCTGGGGCAGAAGAGCCCCTTTGGGAGAGCCTAGGGGTATTGTTGGTCGCAGGCTGCCTGAATGGCGGAAGCATTACCCTAAGACCCGGGGTCTTAGGGAGAAATGTGAGCTGCCAAAGATGGTGCCTTCTTGTCCAGGGTGCTAGGTAGTGGTTGAGAAAAGACAGGGGCTTCATGTTCTCTATGAATGGCAGCCTCCCTTGCCTAGTTTGCATGGGCAGACTGAAGTAGGTTAGAGTCGACTAGCACTTCTTGGTGCTACCACCAGGGCATGCTGTTTGCTGGAGTGCGGGTTTTCCCCCAGCAGATTTCTGTCTCAAAATTCCACGGATAGGACTTCACTTTTCAGATGCCACCAGTCAGGAATGAAACCCTGTACACTTCTCTCTCCATTCCCCCTCACAGTTTTCCCTTCCTTTGTCCCTCCTTCCTTCCTTTCTTTTACATCATATTAGGACACATGCCCACCTCTTGGTGCCAGTGAATTTGGTCTTAAAAGGGCAGGCGTGATGATGTGTTTGTGTTTTCTTTTGTTTGCTTTAGAAGTGGGCACCCTAGCAATAGCAGCACTGCCAAGAGGACTTGTAATCACCTCTTATCCCTGCAAAGAATGAGAAAGGGGAGGGGCAGCCAGGAAGGAGATTAACAAACTTTGTTGGAGCCTTTAGTCTAGGCTATAGACTGAAGGATGACAGAGGCTTTCTTTCTTTTTAGTCTAGTCTGATTACATCTTCCTCCAGGTAATCCATGTAGGTCATTCCTGTCCAAAAGCAAGGTCTAAGGTGGTGCTGGTGGCTCATGCCTGTAATCCCGCCACTTTGGGAGGCAGAAGCAGGTGGATCACTTGAGGCCAGGAGTTCAAGACCAGCCTGGCCAACAGAGCGAAACCTCATCTCTCTAAAAATACAAAAATTAGGCTGGGCACGATGGCTTATGCCTGTAATTCTAGCACTTTGGGAGGCTGAGGTGGGCGGATTGCCTGAGTTTAGGAGTTTAAGACCATCCTGGTCAATATGGTGAAACCCCGACTCTACTAAAAACACAAAAGATTAGCTGGGCGTGCTGGTGTGTACCTGTAATCCCACCTACTCAGGAGGCTGAGGCAGGAGAATTGCTTGAACCTGGGAGGCGGAGGTTGCAGTGAGCCGAGATCGCGCCACTGCACTCCAGCCTGGGCAACAGAGCAAGACTCTGTCTCAAAATAAAATAAAATAAAACAAAATAAATAAAAATACCAAAATGAAAACACAAAAATTAGCCAGGCGTAATCCTAGTTACTCAGGAGGCTGATGCATGAGAATTGCTTGATCCAGGAGGTGGTGGAGGTTGCAGTGAATCAAGATCGTGCCACTGCACTCCAGCCTGGGTGACAGAGTGAGACCTTCTCTCAAACAAACAAACAAAAAATAAATAAATAAATAAATAAATAAATAAATAAAATAAAATAAAATAAAAAGAAGGCCTAGAGACTAGGGCAGGCCAGGGGGATGGGGAGATGGATAGTATACTTGTGTGATTAAGAGTATATGAGCTCTGGTGGTTCCATTAGATGATGTGCTTAAAGTCCTTAGCAGTGTGTCTGACCCAGGTAAGTGCTCAATAAGTGATAGCAATTATTATTACAGGAGCATTTTGGAGAAAAGGATAGTCTCCTGCAGAAGGATTTCAGATCACTGTGAAGCCTGTCTTGGGAGAAGCATGATCTCTGGAAACGCTCACACCAGAATCCTCCTCCTAGATTAAATTAAAAGTTTAAAGAGCTAGAATGGGAGGATGTATGGTGGAGATGTCTCCCAGAAATATTTAGATCTCTATTCTCTGGTTGTAGAATAACCAAAGAGGGTTAGAAGAGATATGAGAAGAAACAGACAGTTGGATTTCAGAATGGATAGGGTCTATTTCTGTTGGTAAAATAGAATACCAGATTTAAAGTAAATAATAAAGACAGCATAAACTATGTGATTTCCAAAAAATGCTCAGCTTTCTCTGCCTGTTCTGGGCCTGTCTGTCCAACAGAATTCAGTGAAATCTGATTTCCTCATTTTATTAAAAATTTTTTTTTTTTTGAGACGGAATCTCGCTCTGTCACCCAGGCTGGAGTGCAGTGGCCCAGTCTCGGCTCACTGCAAGCTCTGCCTCCCGGGTTCCTGCCATTCTCCTGGCTCAGCCTCCCGAGTAGCTGGGACTACAGGCACCCGCTACCCCACCCAGCTAATTTTTATTTTTATTTTTATTTGTTTGTATTTTTAGTAGAGACAGAGTTTCACTGGGTTAGCCAGGATGGTCTTGATCTCCTGACCTTATGATCCAGCTGCCTTGGCCTCCCAAAGTGCTGGGATTACAGGCGTGAGCCACCGCGCCTGGCCTGATTTCCTCATATTTTTTAGGAAAGTGGAGTAAACTTATATATGAGGAAGTCGTTCATAGGAATTTATGCTTACCCAAAAATCTTGGTATGTTTTGTCAAGAATGAAAAGGCACATGGGTCTGGTGGGGATGCAGTCAGATATTTGATCTCTTGACTGTGTTTCTTTTGAAGTAGTCTGAGGCTCAGACTTTGGGGCAGTGGCCCAGGTTTGGAGGCAACCTCCCAGTCTCTCTTTGCATGGGGAAGTGTGCAGAGTTCTCTTAGAACGCCCAGTCACAGGGTGTAGAGACTGCTCTTACACTTCCTGTAATCTCAGCATGGGAACAAGCCTTTGTGTCACACTGTGCAACCTTCCTCCCTTTCTTAAATGCTTGGGGTGAGAGAGGAGAGAGGCTAGGGTGGGGCATGGAGGACACACAGAGAGAGAGAGAGTGCTGTGTATTCCTTCCCGGCTACTGTCCTGTCCTCAGCTAACTTGGTCTGGAACAGTTTCCCCAGGGCTACAGATACTGCACCCAGCTGACTGTCCTTTCATCTGGGTCCCTGGTCCCAGAGCAGAGCTGACAAAGGAGATTCCTGAGAGAGTGACTTCTTATCACAGAAAGTGCTGAGCCAAGAGCTCCTAGCCACCGCTTTTGCAGATGTGAAGGGCCAGTGAACCTTGGACACAGATGGTTGCTTAACAGTCCTTTCCCCCTCCCTCACTCCTTCCTTTGCAGGCTGCCTCACCTCCTCCACCCTTCTTGCTTAAATCCATAGGCATTTTTCTGGCCTTCCCTTTTACTGCTGGCTGGGAAGGAGGAGCATCAGACCACAGATCCTGGAAGGCACTTTTCCTGACTGCTGCTGGCACTGCCGTGAGAACCTGCTTATATCCAGGACCAAGGAGTAAGTGTGCGTTCCACCCTCTTCTCATCTCCACTCGCCTTGCTTACCCTCGTCTTTGCTGCTGTGCAGTGTCTAATTGCTTCTTCTCCCGAGTGCCTCTCGCCCTAATATCTCTCCATTGCTTGACTAGCCTCTTCTGTTTTCCTCTCAGCTGTCTCCTGCTCGGTGTTTTCCAGCATGTGCTGCCTGGCTGCAGCTGTCTTCCTGCCTTGGCTTGCAGTGGTATCTCTCCAGCAGCAACTCTGGGGTAGGGAGTGGCCATCAGCTGCCTCCAATCATCTCTAGGTTTCGTTGTGCATTGGATCACCCTTCTCTCATTCATACTTTTTTGGGTGATTCAACGATGCTGATGTGAGGGATCTGAGAGCAGGAGGCTTGGAATACCAGAGACCGGGAAAAAGGTATCTGGGAAAGGAAAAGCGAGGAAAAGAGAATAGCCTGTTTTCTTTCAGGGTGAGGTGGGTCTACTTGGGCTTTGCCAGGGCTGAAGACTCCAGCTAAGGGTTAAGGGATGCTCCTTGGGCAGGAGGATGGTTGTGGGTTTCCAGCAGATTTCTGAAGCCTTTAGGTTTGGCAGACATAGAGTCCTTGGGGAAAAGAGCAGCGTCATGAGGCGCTCCCACAGATTAGTTGCTTGTAAGATCGGTTCCTAATGTTGTATCTCAGCGCAGGTGATCGCTGAAGCTGAAATTGGAGGGAAGACGGGTTTTGGATAAGGCTGAAAACTCAGGGTCAAGCCATTATGGTTATTTTCTGGGAACTGCCACGCTGCCCCCATGCCTATCTTGTATTATAGCAGGCTCAGAGAGAACCAACATTTAGTGTTTTTTTTGTTATGTTTTGTTTTGTTTTGTTTTTTTTTTTTGAGACGGAGTTTTGCTCTTGTTGCCCAGGCTGGAGTGCAATGGCCTGATCTTGGCTTACTGCAACCTCCACCTGCCGGGCTCAAGTGATTCTCCTGCCTCAGCCTCCCAAGCAGCTGGGATTACAGGCATGTGCCATCACACATGGCTAATTTTTGTATAGACCAAGTAGAGACCAAGTTTCTCAATGTTGGGCAGGCTGGTCTTGAACTCCCTTCTTTAGGTGATTTGCCCACCTTGGCCTCCCAAAGTGCTGGGATTACAGACATGAGCCACTGTGCCCAGCCCAAGATTTCGTTCTCTATTTGGTGAGTTGGGTGAGCAGCAATATCCTAATGATGAGAGACAGATGCTTTCTCTCTGGCGAATGAGTGCCTTCTCTTAAAAATTCAAGTTGGAGGCCGGGCAAGGTGGCTCATGCCTGTAATCCCAGCACTTGGGGAGGCTGAGGCAGGCGAATCACCTGAGGTTAGGAGTTTGAGACCAGCCTGACCAACATGGAGAAACCCCGTCTCTACTAAAAATACAAAATTAGCCGGGTGTGGTGGTGCATACCTGTAATCCCAGCTACTCGGGAGGCTGAGGCAGGAGAATCACTTGAACCTAGGAGGTGGAGGTTGCGGTGAACTGAGATTGCACTCCAGCCTAGGCAACAAGAGCGAAACTCCGTCTCAAAAACAAAAAACAACAAACAAACAAAATTAGCCAGGCGTGGTGGCAGGTGCCTGTAATCCCAGCTACTTGGGAGGCTGAGGCAAGAGAAGTGCTTGAACCTGGAAGGCTGAGGTTGCAGTGAGCCGAGCCAAGATTGCACCACTGCACTCCAGCCTGGGCTACAGAGCGAGACTCTGTCTATAAATAAATAAATACATACATATTCAAGTTGGGGTTGTTTTGATGAGTGAGCTAGAGAAAAGGTTATTTGGAGGTCTCTGCAGTGGTTGGTGGGCTGCCCATATTAGCCTGCGTTGGAGGCAGGTAGAGGTTCTATGTAATTGCCAACCACCTAATATATAGCATCATCTTTCTTCCTTAAAGGGCAATGCCAGGAAGCTGGTGAAGGGTTTCCTCTCCTCCACCATGGTTGACAGCACTGAGTATGAAGGGGCCTCCCAACCTGAGGTGGAAACCTCCCCTTTGGGTGATGGGGCCAGCCCAGGGCCGGAGCAGGTAAAGCTGAAGAAGGAGATCTCACTGCTTAACGGCGTGTGCCTGATTGTGGGGAACATGATCGGCTCGGGCATCTTTGTTTCCCCCAAGGGTGTGCTCATATACAGTGCCTCCTTTGGTCTCTCTCTGGTCATCTGGGCTGTCGGGGGCCTCTTCTCCGTCTTTGGGGCCCTTTGTTATGCGGAACTGGGCACCACCATTAAGAAATCTGGGGCCAGCTATGCCTATATCCTGGAGGCCTTTGGAGGATTCCTTGCTTTCATCAGACTCTGGACCTCCCTGCTCATCAGTGAGCCCACCAGCCAGGCCATCATTGCCATCACCTTTGCCAACTACATGGTACAGCCTCTCTTCCCAAGCTGCTTGGCCCCTTATGCTGCCAGCCGCCTGCTGGCTGCTGCCTGCATCTGTAAGTAGGGCTGGGGCAGGAGGTGGTGGATGGAGGGCTGGGCAGAGGCTGGGATGTGAGTGCAGTCTGGGAGTAAGAAGGAGATAGAAAGGAATGCCTCTGACAACATATATATATACACACACACACACACAACTATATATATACACACACATACAACTATATATATACACAACTATATATACACACAACTATGTATATACAATTATATATATACACAATTATATTGTGTATATTGTGTAATTATATTGTGTATATATATAATATATGTATATATTTGTTACAATTATATATATACACAACTCTCTCTCTCTCTCTCTCTATATATATATAGTTAAATTAATGTATGCTTAGTGTGAAATTTCAAACAGTACCACAGTGTAACATAAAAACACTCACCTTTTCCCCAACTTCTCATGGTAAGGACTATTAGCAGTTTGCATATTCTTCCTGATTTTTTTTTTTTTTTTTAAGAGACAGGTGTTTTGCTCTGTCGCCCAAAACACAGTTTTGGTGATTATACAGTGGTGCAGTGGTGTGATTATACCTCACTTCAGCCTGGAACTTCTAGGCTCAAGCTATCCTCCTGCCTCAGCCTCCTGAGTAGCAGGGACTACAGGCACACTGATTTTTTTTTTTTCTTGTTCCTTCAAGAGATGTAGTTTTGGCAGGGTGTGGTGGCTTATGCCTGTAATTCCAGCACTTTGGGAGGCTGAGGTGGGCAGATCACCTGGGGTCAGGAGTTCGAGACTAGCCTGGCCAACATGGTGAAACCTCATCTCTACTAAAAATACAAAAATTAGCTGGGCATGGTGGCAGGCACCTGTAATCCCAGCTACTCAGGAGGCTGAGACAAGAGAATCACTTGAACCCAGGAGGCAGAGGTTGCGGTAAGCCAAGATTGCACCACTGCACTCCAGCCTGGGTGACAGAGTGCGACTCCATCTCAAAAAAAAAAAAAAAAAAAAAAATTAAAAAAAGAGGTATGTTTTGTTCTTTTACAAAAATGAGATCATACTAGTCTACATGTAATTCTACAACGTGCTTTTCCTCTAGCATTATCAGTGACATTCTTTTCTAGTTACAGATCTACTTTTTAAAAAATGCTTCGTATTATTCCATGTTAATTTTAAGGATGTATTTTAAAATTATGTTTTAATTCCATGTTAATTATAAGGATTTAAGTAGTTTATTTATCTAGCTAGTCCTCTGTTAATGGCCATGTACCTTGGTTTCAGTTTCTCAGTCTTACAGATAATGCTCCAGTGGATGTCCTTTTGCAGTTGCGTGAGTATTTCTGTAGGCTAGATTCTTCCTTTTTTTTTTTTTGAGATAGTCATTCTGTCACCCAGGCTTGAGTGGCGCAATCTCAGCTCACTGCAACCTCCATCTTCTGGGTTCAAGTGATTCTCCTGCCTCAGCCTCCCTAGTAGCTGGGATTACAGGCATGTGCCACCATGCCCAGCTAATTTTTTTGTATTTTTAGTGGAGATGGGGTTTCACTGTGTTGGCCAGGCTGGTCTTGAACTCCTGACCTCAAGTGATCTACCTGCCTCGGCTTCACAAAGTGTTGGGATCACAGGCATGAGCCACTGCACCCAGCCTCTGTGGGCAAGATTTTTAATACTGTCATTTCAGTCCACCTTGGCTTTTTCTCCATCTCATAAATAAAATATTATTTAAATCTGTACATTCAGCAAAGCCACTCTCCACAGCCCCATCCCTCAGATGCCTCTATTCTTGAAAAATGCCCTTCCAACCTGAGAGAGCCTAGGACCTTAGAGATGCCTTCCACCCCACAACTGTGAAGAAGCTCAGATATTCTGTCAGTTTGAGGGGCAGCTGCTGTAGCAGTTGGGGCACAGGAATCTTGCACCAGGTGCAATTGCTCATTGGCTCCCTGCTCTCCCATCAGCTTGTGTCCTTTTTTCTTTCAATTTCTGTATTGCCCCATTCCTTTCCAGCTTCCCTGATTTTACTGTTGTGTAGAGAACTGGCTGTCTTCGGTGGGGTCCTTCTGTGTTTTGTGCGTCCTTGTGTCTGGCCTGGGCTCATCTCTGTGTATGTTTGTCATACATGGCAACAGTCAGGGAGGGGTGGAAGGCACCACTTTGTGTTGCAAGAAGGGGGTTTTCACTGAGGTTTTTTTTTTTTTTTTTGAGACAGAGTTTCACTCTTGTTGCCCAGGCTGGAGTGCAATGGCGCAATCTCGGCTCACCACAACCTCCGTCTCCCGGGTTCAAGTGATTCTCCTGCCTCAGCCTCTCAAGTAGCTGGGATTACAGGCATGTGCCACCATGCCTGGCTAATTTTTGTATTTTTATTAGAGACAGGGTTTCTCCATGTTGGTCAGGCTGGTCTCGAACTCCTGACCTCAGGTGATCCGCTCACCTCAGCCTCCCAAAGTGCTGGGATTACAGGCATGGGCCACATTCCCAGCCTTAGAATTCTATTATTTTAACTATCTTTGTCTGTGTCATTTCTGACAGCTCTTATTCCTTGATTCTGGCATTGTGCCTACCTCTGCCAGTCACCCCTTTTTAATTTTCTGCTGCTGCTTCTTCTTTTTTTTTTTTTTTGAGACAGAGTTTCACTCTTGCTGCCCAGGCTGGAGTGCAATGGTGCGATCTCGGCTCACTTCAACCTCCGCCTCCTGGGTTCCAGTGATTCTCTTGTCTCAGCCTCCCAAGTAGCTGGGATTATAGGTGCCTACCACCACGCCAAGCTAATGTTTTTGTATCTTTAGTAGAGACAGGATTTCACTATGTTGTCCAGGCTGGTCTTGAACTCCTGACCTCAGGCGATCCACCTGCCTTGACCTCCCAAAGTGCTGGGATTACAGGCGTGAGCCACTGCACCTGGCCAATTTTCTGCTTCTAATTTAGGAATAGAGACATACATGTTCAAACCCTCATTCACCCATGTACACATTCATGTGCCTGTATATCCTTGTAAGAATACATGCAAAGGCCGGGTGCAGTGGCTTACGCCTGTAATCCCAGCACTTTGGGAGGCCGAGGCGGGTGGATCACAAGGTCAAGAGATCAGGACCATCCTGGCCAACATGGTGAAACCCCGTCTCTACTAAAAACACAAAAATTAGCTGGGTGTGGTGGTGCATGCCTGTAGTCGCGGCTACTCGGGAGGCTGAGGCAGGAGAATCGCTTGAACCCAGGAAGCAGAGGTTATAGGGAGCAGAGATTGTGCCATTGCACTCCAGCCTGGGTGACAGAGCAAGACTCTGTCTCAAAGAAAAAAAAAAAAAAAAGCTGGGTGTGGTGGTGGGTGCCTGTAATCCCAGATACTGTGGAGGCTGAGGCAGGAGAAATGCTTGAACCCAGGAAGCAGAGGTTGCAGCGAGCCGAGATCATGCTACTGCACTTCAGCCTGGGCCACAGAGCGAGACTCTCTCAAAAGACAAAACAATACAAAACAAAACAAAAATAACACATGCAAAGTAGCCACAGTTATGGTTCATATGCAGAGCTCTTTAGTGAGTAAAAGGCATGGAGTTTTGTGCACAGATGTGTGACACACATTTGAGATTACTCTGATAGAGTGAAATGTGCACACCACTTCTGCACACCCTTGTGTTTGAGGTTGGGCTCAATAGCTATGTGACCAGGCTGTTGTGAGAATGGAATGAGATTCAGTGAAAATCATAAATTATGACTCAAGTATAAAGTATTATGTTTAAAATTACTATCTTTCTTGGTCACTTATAGTCCTGTTCCTTTACCTGTTTCTTGGCTTCATCTGAGTAGTTATGGTTAGATAAATGAGATATTACTGCATAGGTAATATCTGGACTTTGTTCTATCTTTAATAACTTCAGAGGAACATAGAGATCTAAAGAAGGTTCAGAAGGGCAATCAAGACTAAGAATTTAGTGACATATGATTCATGGGTTTATTCCTTCAGCCACTGTTTTAGTTTTGTTTTAAAATTTTTTTATAGAGATGGGGTCTCGCTATGTTGCCCGGGCTGGTCTCAAATTCCTGGGCTCTAGCAATCTGCCTGCCATGGTCTCCCAAAGTGCTAGGAGCCACTGCACGTGGCCTTCCGACACTGTTTAATAAGCACCTGACACAAGTCAGATGCTAGGACCTATAAAGACATTCTGATTAGCCTAAGTGAGAACTTAGGTAGAATCTTCAGATTTAGCAACAGAAGGGCTTTAATTTAGAGCTTTCATACATTCCCTCCCTTAGAAAAAATTTAATTAGGGCATGCTATGTGTGTGCTAGATATTTTACTTAGTGCTGCAAAACGAAGAAGAATGATATCTGGCCCTTGCCATTCCATAATTTATAGTCCAGAAAGGAGACAGACATGTTAACAAATAATTGTCATGCAATATAATTCGTGCACTGATAGAGGCACCATAAGAGCAAATGGGGCAATATTTTTTTTTTTTGAGATGAAGTTTCACTCTTGTCGCCCAGGCTGGAGTGATCTCGCCTCATTCATGCAACCTCCATGTCCCAAGTTAAGCGATTCTCCTGCCTCAGCCTCCCGAGCAGCTGGGATTACAGGCATGCACCACCACACCTGGCTAATTTTTGTGTTTTTAGTAGAGACGGGGTTTCACCATGTTGGCCAGGCTGGTCTCGAACTCCTAACCTCAGGTGAACCGCCTGCCTCAGCCTGCCAAAGTGCTGGGACTACAGGCATGAGCTACCACGCCTGACCTAAATGGGGCAACTTTATTTTTGTAGGGGAGGAGAGCTTAGGAAAGTATCACAGAGAACATGGTGTCTGAGCTGAATTTTGAAAACAAATATAGCTGTCTCCTGCGACCTTTCACACAGGAGACTGCATGTACAAAGGTGTGGAGGTGCAAGGCACAGAATGTTCAGAGAATTCCAGGTCATTGGTATGGTTGGAATGTGGGGTGGGAGAGGGGCTAGGAGACAGCGCTGGGTGAGATGGGTTTTATAATCAGGTTGGACTTTATCTAAAAGATAAGGGGAAGCTATTGTTTATTTTTTTATTTTTAG